TTTGTCCTGTTATAATAGCTTTTATTTTATTGTATAATAATATATATTGTAATAATAATAATAATAATAATAATCATTTTATCTCTCATAAACATATATATATAATAATTAACATTATCTATTTTCTTTTTCTTTTTCATGTAACACCATCATATTCTTGGAACGTACGATTTCCTGCCGATGCTGAATTCTGGTTGACCAATGGTAACTCACCGATGGTATAACTTCATGGACATCATTCTAATTATTAATTTAAATCATAATACAAACGAATAATGTGCACGTTTATTAAAACACCATCTTAATGTATTCTTTATTATTTAACACCTTATTTAACCCCATTTATTTTCCTTTTAACGTACGAAACTTTATTAATTGCAACAAAACACGTTGTGACATAATTATGACTGCATGACATTTGTCTTCTCTCTCTCTCTCTCTCTCTCTCTCTCTCCCTATCCTCTTTAAAATAAAAACCAAAAAAAAAATTCATTTTTCCAATGGCAAAAACAACCAACCATACAACCACCATACACGCGTCAATTTCGAATGTACACCGAAACGTTCGTGGTTCCGTATGCAAATTCGATCGTGCCGAACTGTCCTGAACGTTCTCCGCACTAAATCCCACAAATGACGTCTACTCGTGTCCTATCCCACACCCTCTCTCTCTCACACTCGTTTCATACCACCCTCAACACCCCCACCAACACCATACTATCACCTGGGTGCATCCGATACGCCACCAATGTATCGGTTGCAAACGAAACTACGGTGCTTTCGTGGCTGAATCCGTGTCATCGATACACACACCACCCCCATTCCACCCTCCACCCCATCCACCCATTTTCCCATCCTTCTTTTACTCTCCCTCTCTTTCATTCTCTCACTCACTCATTCCGTTCTCTTCTCTTCTCTCGTGTCTCGTGAACCAATCCCCGACTGATCCACTCGTTAATTACCCCGAATCCCCTTGAATCGATCCCCCCATTGCGGCTATGGTACTCTACGACTCGTCGATCGGTCTTCGATACTCTCTCTATCTCTATCTCTTTCTTGTTCATTTTTGTCGACTATTTGTCTATCAATCTATCTCTCTTTCATTATCTTCTTCCACTTGATACATGTATCTTTCTTTTTGTATGGGTTTCTTCCTTTCCATTTATCTTCATTGTATATCTATTCTTATTCTTATTATTTTATCTATTTTCTTTTGTTTTTTTTTTTTATTTCTTTCCACTTCTTTTTTCAATCATTATCAACTTGTTCTATTTTTTTTTATTAATTTTCCTTCCATGGTGTCAATCATTAATTTATTTTTTCGTTTTGTTTGTGGGTTCTACAATCTTTCTTCTTTCTTTCTTTTTGTTCGTATTATCGACATCAACTACACGTCACCTTCCACCACCCACTAACTCCTCCCCCTCTGCCCCCCTTTTTTTTATAACGTTGCAGCACTTTTGTCAAGCACCCTGAAGACCTATCAACGTGGTTCCTGTGACGAAGAAACGATGACGTTAAAGTGTCCACCCGGTACAACGGTGTCAGTAGCCCTCGCACATTATGGGAGAGCTTCTGAAAGTGGAACACAAAACTGTGGCATACCATCATCATCATCATCATCATCAATTAAACATTCATCCAAACATTCATCCAAATTTTCATCCAATTTTGCTATAGATCAGAATCAACAAAACAACGATCAGAATCAGCAAAACAACGATCAGAATCAGCAAAACAACGATACGTGTTTGTTACCTAGTTCTTTACAGGTATGTGTCAACGTTGTGATTGATAAAATAATTATTTAAAAAAATCTATCGTTATAAATAATTAATAGATTATTATAATTATTCGTGGAAGTACATAATCTTTTTTTCATTCTTTTTTTAACCCGTCTCATTGTTTTACTTTGATTGTTTTTACTTTACAGAAATGATTCACTCACGTTGAATTCATTTCTTCCTAAAATTAGGATTATTTTTATCATAGTTTTCTTCTTCATTCGTCAATCTCGAAATTTCTTCCTAACCCCCACCATCCTATTTTTTTTTTTTTTTAATCGTTGACAAATGAAATTTTTCGCAATTAACTTTTTCTTTTTTCTTGTTCTTTTACCCCTACCGATATAAGATGAATATTTTTGTTTTATTTTCGAGGATGAATATTTTAACGTTTAGTCGGATAATTTATCCTCAAGAGAGAGAGAGAGAGAGAGAAGATATTTAATTATGCTATCTTTAATACTTTAACAAAATTTTGAGAAAGTATTCGACGAGCGAGCTTTCTTTTTTTTCTTCTCTCCTTTCTTGTAATTTTTATTAAAAACTAACCATCATAATCCCCCAGCTTAAAAAAGATTATAACCATTATGTTATGGGTCTTGTTTCCTTTACGCGTCGTTCGTTTAATTTTGATTGCAACTTTCAACCAACATTCGCAAGTTGGTTGTTTCGAAAATACAAGAGACCAGGCTGTCGTCCTCCTGTTTTTTTTATTTTAACTTTTTAATAATAAGTTTTACGAGACAACGAGTGGGAAAAAATAAAAAAAAAAAAGAAAAATGAAAGGAAGATACGATTGAAGAGAAATTATAAAAATAAAAATGAATGAGTTTTTATACTTTATCCTAAATGAAAAATAGAAAAATTTCGTTTTCGTATTACTTGTCGAAAGTAAATTTTTATTATCTTACCACCACATCGTTTTATATTATTTATAACGAATTTTGTTTTTTCACGTTTCCACGGATTTCATCAAAGTCCGAAAAATGATTGAAGAATAAAAAGTTGTGTTCTTCTATTAAAAAGAAAATATAAGTTTGCTTTTGATTTTACTTTATCATCTTTTTTCGTGCCAATTGATTCGCGAAAAATAAAGTTTCCCATTTTATTTCCAATTTTTTCTTACGATTATATTAAGAGTTAAATTTCTTCCCTGTTTCTTTCTTTTTCCTTTTCATTTCATTTATTTTTTCCACTAGACGTTCTTTAACGAAGTATAAAAAAAACTGCATACAAACAAACCTCTCCTCAATTGATTTTTCTATTCGTATCTCGAACGAAGAGATAGGATTCGATAAAAAAAGAAAAATATGATTTTTCCGAAAGAAAATGAGAAAAGAATTAAATATCAGATCAGAAATATTGTCAGAAAATCGTCGAATTAAATTATATTATAGATAAATATCGTAATAATAGTTTTTATTCAAGGAATGGGTAATGATTAAAATAAGGAAAAAAAGAAAAAAATTCAAACAAAATGAGATAGAAAGAAAGAGAGGAAAAAATAAAATAGCTAGGGGAGTTTGTTCAAGCAGGTTAAACGAAGAAAAGCGTAGTTCCATTGGTAAACGTGCTTCCCATTGCCAATATATTCACCATCGAACGGATTTTTCTCTCCGATCTGAATTCTTATACTCATCCCCATTGCATATCCTTTTCAAACAAGATTGTCAGTTTCTACGCTTGATTAAATACGAGAGTATATCCAATTAGTTGTTTCACTCGTCCAAAAATCAAAAATTATTAATAAATAAATATCTTAGGGAATTTGAACATTCAAAAGAACTAGAACTTCATTTTGATTAGTTGGACCAACTGGAAATTTTATTTTATTGTTATTTTTATATTGTGAAATACACACATGAGACCCATACATTATAAAATATTAAATTATTAATCATTAAAGTTCAGCATTATTTTATTTATTTATTTTAATAAATAAGTACTCATATTTATTTTATTTATTGTTCATATGTTCATATATAGTTGAGTATCTTTTTTTCAGGTCACTTAACATTTTATCTATTTATCTGTTCCTTTTTTTTTTTTATTTTAGTCTTTAGATTACTACTTCTTTCTTTTCTTATTTTAGTCTTCTATCTTTCTCTATTTTCTGAAAACACACACACATACACATATAATTCGTTATCCACACCAACAACGATTCACTTTCATGGTTTTCCTGCTCTCTCGCACACTTTGCACTTTTCTGACTTTTCGAGTTGACAGATCTTTTTTCTTCTTCTTTTTCTTTTTTTCTTCTTCTATACTTCCTTTTCCTCCCATTCATGTTTTTTTTCCCATGGGATAAACGTGTACGAGTGTATACGCGACATACCACTTTACTCCGAATACTTTTCTCCATTCCTATTCGTTCGTTGTTTTCCACCCTGCCACCTCACCACCCACCCCACCTTGCTTACTCTCTATGTTTTCGTAAATAGAATTTATTTGTAACTCATTTTAATATTCGGTTATGAGAATGAAAATTCTCCAAAGGGGTGGAGGGAGGGAATTTCTTTTTCTTTAATATCACGAAAACAATTTTTTTCTTTTTTTCGTTAAAAAAATCATTTTTGCTTAACCGTATAAATAAAATACGAGTTTGATTAGAAAGGTATCAATTATAATTGTATATTATTTAATTATTATAATTATTAATATAATATATAATAATTTATAATTATATTATTTAATTATGTGTATCACAAAATATAATCGTATTATTATTATTAGTAATTATTATTGTTTCGTGATATAAAAATAATAAAAGAAAGTATAGTTGTACGTCGTGTAATTTATTCTATATCATTAAATAAAATAAAATAATGTTAGGAAAAATAAAATAACGAAATTGTAGAGAGTTATGAAAAAAGAACACAATGATCCTCTTTTGCGAATAGGTGAATGCTTTGGACAGCGATATAAATCGATGGGAATGACGGTAACAAGTTAGCCATCTTACTACAATAGAAAAATCCCATATGGGCTACCCAACCACCAAACTAGTGAGAGAAGTATTCTTGTCCTCTTGTCGATCTCATATTTCACGTTTCGTTTCTACGAGTATTCTATTTTTATCACTTTTATCCTTTTTTTCTTTTTTTTGTATTTTTCTATTTCATTCACCCTCTCTCATAGTTTCTTTCCTTTTGTTCCTATCGTTCTTTCATTTTAGAAACTATCATTTTAAATTCAGTTTAACTTTTCTTTATAATCCTTTACTGTCCAACTTCTTTTATTATCTCAGTTTAATTTAATTCCTTGTTGCATATTTTAATCGGGAAAGGATATTTTTTACAGAAAAATAAATAACAAATGGAAGAAAAAAGTGTAGACGATAAAGAATTGAAACAGGCAAATAAAAGTTAAATGTTTCATTAGTAATAGAAAAAAATAAAATCAAAATATAAAATATCTTCTATAAAATTTTACATCAATTGATTCTAACATCGTTCTTCGTTCTCATTCGAGTAAGAAAATTCCTTAATGTTCGAGACAATAAGAAAATAAAAGAAAATTTGTCTTCACAACGATCAAGGTATCCTCCTTTTATTCTTAAGTTAAACGAAACCACGATAAAGAAGAAGAAAAAGAAAGAAAAAAAAAAGCTTTTCGTATTATCATCTCTCGTGATTCGTTTCCGAGTATACTCGGCAAATTAAATCGACATTTGCAAAAGAATAAATCGTAATATCATTATCGAATAAAGAATCACATTTTCTTCTTTATAAATCTTATTCACAATTTTATCAAATATTCTTCTTCTTCTCTTCTTCCTTATTTATTTAAAAAAACAAATAATAAAACAAGTCTTCCAATTTCGTAGTATTCGCAAATAAATGTATCAAAAATCGTATAAGATCACACATGAAATTAGAAACTTGTCTTAATCCACTAACCATAGAATTAGGTATCGTTCTAATGGTGTTGAAGATGAAAATTTGGGATTGAAGTAAACTAGAGAGAGAAAGAGAGATGTATAAGTAACCCTTCCTTATTTATTTTAGAAAAATAGAAACAAACAAATAACAAAACAATTTTGCCATTTCGTATTTCATGAAATAAATGAAATCACATTTTCTTCATTACAAATCTTATCCAATTTTATCAAATATTATTCTTCTCTCTTCTTCCTTATTTATTTAAAAAAAAAACAAATAATAAAACAAGTCTTCCATGTCATAGTATTCGCAAATAAACATATCAAAAATCATATAACATCACACATGAAATTAGAAACTTGTCTAAATCCATTAACCACAGTGTTTAAGATGAAAGTTTAGGATTGAAGTAAACTAAAGAGAAAGAGAGATGATCAAGTAACCCTTCCTTATTTATTTTAGAAAAAAAACAAACAAACAAATAACAAAACAAGTTGACCATTTCGTATTTGGTGAAATAAATGTATGGAATAATCGTGTAAGATCAATTGTGAGATTAGGAATCCTATCTAAATCATTGACGGACAGAGTAGGGCATCGTATTCTAACTTCAGGTGGGGTGTTGGGGGGTGGTGAAGGGTTGTGATAGAGAGGAAAGGGATGGACAAGTGACTCATTAGGCAACGAATTAACGGAACACGGTGTAGGTGGTGTGCACGCGCGAGCAAGTTGTCCGTTCAGAATAGGGTAGATTGATCAGGAAAGGAAAAGGGGTTGGTGATGGTGATGGTTGATGGTGGTAGTGGCCTAGTGGTACGTATCGTAACTACGAGTTCACCCCCGTCGTAATACCGAAAATCGATTCCTCCTGTGGGACTTCTCGTAGACTGGTTTGCGAAATATAGCGAAACCTGTTCACTCTACCTCAAATTAAACCTGAGAATTTCAATGATTGGATCGTCATTGCGTTTGACAAAGATGGATGGATTGCCAACTTAAACGAGACGAGTTAGATATACGTTTAGCACACGATTATTCAAGATAATATCTCTTAAGTCTTTACTTTTATCATCTTTTATAATATTTTTCTAACAATTTTTTCTATTTTCTCTTATTATTCTTCATTTCTTTTTTTTTTTAACGTAATTAATATCAATTAGGTATTTTAGTTGTTAAGGGAATGGAAATTTGATTAAAATTAATATAGGTTATAACGGATTTTTGTCCAATGAATAATCTCATTTGGTTTAAAAGAAAATCCATAAAGTATTCGCGTTTCTTGTTGGAATTATAATGAATGATAGGGGGTATGGGGGAGTATGAAGAGGGGGGTGAGATAGAATATGCATTTCTTATACGAATTTTATACGAATGTATAAAAAAAAGAAGAGAAGAGAATAGTATGTAACTACTTAAATAATTGAACAATGTAATCTTGAAAAAAAAAAAAGAAAAAAAAGAAAGGAAGATTGAATTAAAGTTGTAGAATATTACCATGGTAGGAATAGGATGATGGGCAAAATGGATGGGGTTTTCGCCAACCGCAGATATGCGATCGGGTAAATTTAATTTTATCCCCTTACGTATACCTACCACCTACCTACCCACCCCATCCCACCCCAACCCACCCCACCTACCAACCAAGCAAACTAATACACTCGCAGCTGCGCGATTCGTTCGATCGAACCTTCCACAAATTTCCGGTGAAGACAGAATTTCAGGAATTCGAAACAATCACCGTATGGATACCTGGTGCCATGATCGTGGTTTATGAAAGATAGAAAGAGAGAGAGAGAGAGAGAGAGAGAGATAGAGAGAGTAAGTAATGTTGCGAACTCGTTTCTAAACTAGTAAATTCACTTTGATAGAAATGAATTTCTCTCTCTCTTTCTCTCTTTCTATTTTCTTCTTATTCTTTTTCTTCTTTTTTTTTTCTCATAGTTAATGAATAACTTATTGCATAAAATAAAATTCTCTTGTTAATTAAAAATCGTTTCGTCATTATTCAAACTCATTTTTTCTTTCTCTCTTACTTACTTAGTTACTTTCTTACTTTCTCACCACAGGACTACTCTCTCCGATGTCCTGAATTTCCCTTCGTTAAAAACTTCGACGATTACTTTTCTGCAATCGATCCTTCCTCTCTCTCATACCCCACCCACTCCTCCCAACCTATATAATTCGATATTACATAATTATTTTTGTTTCCAATTAAATTTTTCATTTCGTTGATAAGAGTAAGAAATAAGATGCAAACTTCTAAAGGGTGTGTTTCTTTTTTTCTTTTCTTTTTCTTTTCTTTTATATACATATACATACGTATGTAAAAAAAAAATTTGTAAAGAGTGTGTATATGCATGAGGAATGTATTAAAAAAAAAAAAGAAAAAAAATGAAGTACTTCCACGTTATCTTTTTATCTTTACCCACCCCCGCGTTCGTTACTTACCATAATTATTTACTTTATGGAAACCCGTTCTACTATAAAATGAGCGGGTCATCTGAATGACGCATTAGTACTCACTGTTGCAGACTGTCGTCGAGATGTGTCGGAATAAGAGGCAGTGTAAATTCAACACAAGTCCGAAGACCTTCCAAGGGGATCCCTGTCCTGGTCTTCGAAAATACGTCGAGGTCGCTTACAAGTGCAGTCCTTGTAAGTTATCATTCGATTAATATAATATTTATACATATAGGTTTTATTATAATACACGTATATATATACTGGTACTACTACATGTAATGAAATATAAAATAAAAAAAATGATACATCGATTTTTTCAACCGTATATGCAGTTGCATATATGCAGTTGCATATAACGTTCTTCTTCTTTTTTTCCTTTTATATTATATATGTAATTATTAAAATCCAATTACATACGAGGAAACGAGTTGGAAGTAGTTTTTAGAATAATAATTATTAACGAAAACTTTATTTTCTTTGATAATGAAATTATAAAAAAATTATATTGAAAGAAAAGAAGTAAAATGTTAATTAAATTGATTAGTTAAATTGTGTTTCTATGTACACTAGGGTATTTTTTGTATACTTATTAAATAATATATAATACATTAATAATATATAGAATACTTATTCTAAGAAAAAAAAAAGAAGAAAGAATAAAAATCGTTAATAAATTGGAAATAATCGAATTACATAATATAGTACATAGTATATATATATCATATAAGTATATATATTTTTGTAGATACGATTGGATATGATCCAATGGATCCAATTCAATAAAATTTATGTTCCCGTTCGAATACTCGAATATCGACAACATTTTACAGGATCCTGATTTTTTTTTCGTATTTTCGGTATATATCTATAATACGGAAGCAACCCCTTTACTCTTCACCCTCACCCTCCAGAAAAAAAAAGAAAAAAAATAAAGCAAACGACGTTGTTCGAAAACTTGGGTCGATTTTTTTCTCGATCAACTCACACACTTCGGTGCATCCTCGTCCTAGGGATATATATCGTTGATTCATTCATTCGTTCATTCGTTCATGAATGAACGACATTCGGGAAACGAACAAAACGTCGTTGTCCATGTTTTATCTCGGGAATATCACACGTCACCGATTTTCTCGGTTTCTTCCTATTCTTTCTCTCGCGTGATATTTTTTTTCCTTTTCTTTTTTATTTTTTTTTTATTCCATTCGAATCACTGTCAGTGATTATTTTATTAGCTTTTCCGAAAATTCATGAACATTATAATGAACGGATGAATTGCAATTTATGTAAGGGTTAAAGTGTTTTCTGATTGGAAAATGAATTGATGGGATTCTATTTTGACTTATTATATATAAACAATTGTTTAAATAATATTTTTTTAAACTTTATATATGCATATATATAATATATATTTTGTAGATACAATTAGATATGATTTAATGGATTCTGATTGAATAATATTTTGTCCCCATACAAGTATTCAAATATATATTTATTATAATTTATATTTATTTTTTGTATATATATTATTTATTTTATTATAATTTATATATTATATAGACATATAATATTTTTGTTTGTTTAAGAAATTTTCTATAATAAATAACGAAAACTATAATAAACGTTTCGCTGACAATATTTTTGTTGATCGTCGAATACGAATCCGCAGTTTGAGAAAATCATTTTTACGTTCAGGTTTTCGGGCAGCTACGCTGTGACAAAAAAAAAAAGAAAAAATCCCGTCCCCCCACAAAAAAAAAAAAAAAAAAAAAAAAAAATTTCAATTGATATAGGTCGGTCCATGGTTTTTNCCCCCCCAAAAAAAAAAAAAAAAAGAAGAAAAAGAATTTCAATTGATATAGGTCGGTCCATGGTTTTTCGAATAAAAGTTTTGGCCAGGTCCGCTATATTACTTTGTGAAAATTGCCACCAGAAGCAATTTCAATTCTCTCTCTCTCTCTCTTTTTCTTTTTTATATATATATATCGTTTATTGTATTAAAAAAATATCCTCGAGCAAAGTTTCATTTCGAAACTAATAGTATAATAGATTTTTATAACTCAATGGTTTGATTTTTGTTTTGTAAATTATTCGATTGAAATTGTATACGCAAAAAGAATAAAATCAAATATAATCACATGAGAGAGAAAAAAAAAAAAAAAATAGGCTGTCGTGTGTCCAGGTGAGAAAAAAAGAAAAAAAAAAAGGAAGAAGAAGAAGAAGAAGAAAGAAAATATATTATATATTATATTATATGGCATTTAACTGCAACAGGTTGCACCATGGATCACTAATGCGAAAATATTCCTCGAAATATTTTTAATAAGTAAACGCAGTAATGCAAAATTTGACGTAATATGCATTTCAAGTGCATATTTTTGTTTTTTTCGTTTTGTTAAATTAAATATTAATTATATCATCGAAGAGAACATTGAAAAACTTGTCTTGAATAATTACGAAGGCAAATGAATGAAAAGAAATAACGAGAACAGTAATGATGATGATGATGATGATTATTATAATGATAATAATTATACTCCATAAAACGTAGAAATTCTCTCCGTAATAATAATCTTTGTTTAATTTAATCAATGTTATACGAATGAAATAATAATAATACTATTCAAATTATATACTACGGATACGTATGTACGAGTAGAAAAAAAGAATAAAAAAGAAAAATAAAGAGTAAGAGGTAAAAAGAATTACAAAAAAAATTACAAAAAATATATATATAAAAATTGTAAAATTATTAGCAAAAGAATGTTATTTATATGCGAGTGCATGTACACATATGCATTGTAAATTAATCTAAAATATTTCATATAAGATATAACTTAATAAAAAAAAAAGAAACATATCACATATGTTGCAAAAGTATATATAAAAAAGAGAAATATGTTTTTATTAAAGTTACAAACTAATATTCATTCATTCCACCATTATTGGTTTCTATACTTTATCCCAGTGTGTGTATCGCAATATCTAATTCGATCTTAATGAAAAACCATGAAAGAAAGAAAGACGTAATATCGGTTTTTCTCGAAGGTAATAGTAGTAGTAGTAGTAATATATCTAGCAAAGAGAATTTTGCGATGCACAATGTAATCTATTTCATCACTCACACTCTCATTTTTTTCTCATGTACGTTGACTGTGGGTTACAAATATCATAAATGCATTTTTATTTGTTACATCGTGCTTTTATCATATATATTTATTTATTTATTTATTTTTGCGATGAACACGTAAATGCATACAGGTATATATATATAGTTATTGTGAAAATACATGCACACACACACATATATATATATACAGAAACTTGGTAGATATCTGTAACAAGCCGATACACGGTTGTAATTGTTTAGACCGGTTGCAATTTCGTTGATTAAAGATACGCCAGTGGCCACTACGAAGGGTAACTAGGTGTAACATGTACGTAGATACACCTAGGTATCTACCTACGTATTCTACCTATCTATCTATCTATCTATCTATTCTACGTAAAATCGATTCGAATCGATTAAGTGAGTAGGAAGAAGTATTTATTCCCGGTTTGTATCAGCCGATTAAAACGATCGCGATCAGTCTACGGAATTGGATCCCGATCGGAAAAAAAACTCCGATCCTCGTTGGGGGAGGGGGTCGATCGGGGGCAGAGGGGGAGGGAACGAAAGAAACCACCCTACAAGCGTTTTTCTCGAATTGTTTTTTAAAAAACCATTGATTGGTAATATTTCGTTGGATCGTTTTGAAAAATCGAATTTTCGATGAAACTAAATAAATACAAAATTATAATAATAATAATAATACTAAGAAAAAAGTATTTATTCCTTCAGATTCACGTCAATTAATAGGGGAGGGAGTTTCAAGTAATTTTCGTATTTTTTTCTTTCTAAGTTTAATATTTAAATTTAGTAATTTAATCGTACTTATCTTATTTTAATATGTGTGTGTGTGTAAGAACAAATAATACCACATACTGGCTCGTTTTAACACTTATACTTTTAGTATGTTAAAAATGATCATTTAAAAAACGTACTTATACCATAAGTATATTATTTATTTATCGTGTAATAACTTGAATGTAATATATAGTGTATCTAGGGGAAAGTAGTATCAAGTAGTGTTGAAAGTTTTACGACAAAAGCTCGTTTCTTCCAATTATATTGCTTATCTGTCGGCTCTTGACGTTTCCATAATCCTCGAGCAGAGTGCAAACAGTATTTAACGCGAAAACACGTCAAAATGCAACACACACACACCTATATATATATCTACACACGCATACATAGACAAACGAGAACCAACAGTGCAATTCGTTATACGTTTTCGAAAGATAGCAAAAGCTTTTCTCGTTGGGAGTTCGTTCACTATACTCCACTTATTATCCTAAAACACACACACACACAGACTCTTCCCAGAGATTTGATTTATTCTAAGTATCGTAGCCAGAAAGTAGCTCGCGTTTTCGTGTATATTCAAAACTAAAGAGAAGTAGAGAGAGAAAGTTGGTTGAGTAGGAATTTTAGCATATCACCTGTCGTAATAGTTTTCCATCTAAGGGCTCGTAAAGCAACTCTATTTTATAAACTAACACGTAAACCCTTAATTCTTGTTCGGTGTGTTAGGACAAAGTGGGGGAAAGGGGAAAGATGTTCTCTTCTCAATTTCGGGAGTTATCACTTTTGCAGGTGGGTTTTATTATGAACAAAGTGATACGATAAAAAGTGATGTCAACTTTTTCTTATAAAAAAAGAAACTTTTTAATATCGATTCTGTATCATATATATTTGAATTTATTTTCTTGTTTTATAGTTTAATCGACACAACAAGTTTTATTTCTATTAAGTTTAAAAATATTTAAATACATCTTAATTTTGTTTTCATACAACAGATACGTGTGTAGAAAATTGCTTCTAATCTTGAATGAATAATAAAATTAACAAAAATAATCTAAAATAAATTAAAACATATGAGTTTAGATAAAAATTGGTCATCTTAGAATTTTGATATTTACGTTAAAATAATGTTTTACAAAAAAAAAGAAACAGAATTGGATGTCATGACGATGAATTTTTTGATAAGAGTAACTTTGTTCTTTTTTATTTTATTTTCATAAGTCTAAGATCAAAATTCGAAGTTTATAGGAACAAGGATGAAGGAAAACTTGCAAGCTCTCTTGTATCCGAA